ATTCCTAAAGAAGAATTCATGCACTTTCCTCCTAATCGCATGCTTATCAGCTTCATCCAATGATTTAACAACACTTTTGCGATGTTTACTGGTCATTGGCTCAGAAAAGGTGTGATTTTTTTTGTATTGTCTTAACACATTAAACACTGATGCGCGACACACCCCAACTTTGTGAGAAACCTTCACAACAATTTCTTTGATAGTTGATGCCTCGCTCTCCTCGCACAAAATGACCTCTTTCATTTCTGCACTCAGGTGTCTTTTTAGAGCGTTTCCTAGGTGGACTACAGGAGTTTACAACTTCATCGGCAGTATCTGTACTACTGGGCATTTTGCGCAAGCAGTTGATAATAATAACAATCAATAACAAGGTATAACAATAACAACGACAAACTCAACAACTTAATAAGATAACAAACGAAAACGTCCAAAGAAATATCAAATTGCAATGATGCACACGACATACGTAACACGTCTGAACCTGAATGTGACTCTGCCTTGATACGACTGCTCTGCCGCTCGGCATAGGCATTTAATTGCGAATTGACCAATGAGGGCTCCTGTTTTACGTCGAGACGGCGGCGTTAGCGTGAAAATCACCCGAACCTTTTGTTTACATCCGGTCTATCTCTTATCTGAATATACTGTAACTTTACCACTCGACGGGGCCTCGAATGCCGATCCACTGGTTCGGGAAATGGGCGTGGAAAATCTGTCATCTTGTTGGAAATTAATATAATTTTAATTATAATTAACGTCATTTTCTATTACTCGTATATCGGCAATTGGTGGCTCTGTTGTATTTTCTAAAATGTCCAAGTACGTCTCGCCAGTCGGGTTTTCATTAGTAAAGAAAATGTCGGCCCACAAATTTATATTATCAGGATATTGTGGGTGTATCTCTAGAAACAAATAAGGATTCGAGCCCTCCAATACCGACAATTTAGTCTATTTCCAGCACCATGTAAATAGAATGTACACTCATCCGAGAAACAAACAGATTTGCATTGTTGATTAAACGTTGGCACGTTGAGCCGTATTCATAAAAGAGAAGCATATCCTCGTAAGCATAAGTTAAAAGTATAGGGTCTTGCTTCGGAGAAAAAGATAGAAGTAACGGGTGATTTTTTAAGAGGTATAGGATTTGATTTTCAAAAAAAAACCACAAAAAATTTGAAAAAACGATTAAATCTTTATTTGAGTCGATAGAACGGTCGATATAATTCCAAGGTCCAATTTTGGCACACTCTCTCCAACATATCGGCCGGTATCTCACGAATAAATGCTTCAATATTGGCTTTCGGTGCGTCAATCAAAAATTCAATAATTTGCAAGCGTTGTTCGTTCGTAAGTCGATTCACGGTTAAATTATAGACCAAACTGAACAAGTTTGACAATGACATAAGACACGATTCACGCGTCATCTGTCAAAAACAGTGTTGCCAAAAAGATACTAGCAAAAAAATCACCCATTATAAGCATATCCTTGTTTTCATATTCATAATGATTACCTTATACTCGCGAGGATATCCTCCAAGAAGAACTAAAAGGTTGACTGGTATTTGTATCTTGAGCGACATGTCCTGACTTGTTTCAGCTTGTAGTTGACGTGGAAATTCGTTCACTCAGCATCACCGACAGTTGTATTCCAGAGCGTACACAGACCGTTCCGTATTTTTACTGGATACATTTTTTCATCAAATTAATAAGCATGTCATCCTCAAGCGATGAGGAAACTATAGAAAATAACGGCAACGAGCTGCAGTTTATCGCAGTTGAAATTGCCATTGCTCCCATTATTCAGCAAAAGTCACAAGTTCCAAAAATTAAAATGAGAAAGGACGATGCCTTGAAGAAGACGTTGAAAAAATACGAATCAACATTATACAAGGATATCCTTTGTTTTATGAATACGCCTCATTAATCCGCAAAACTGCAACCTTCTAGCAAAATCATCTTCATTAGGCTCATCCGCAAGTTTTATCCTTTTTATCTTTGTCCTATTGAGCGCGTAGATTCTGACGAAGTACAAGTAAGTAATAAGTCAGTATTGACAAGTGCTATGTGTCCCAAAACTGATATTTCTGCAGATTAGCGTTAATATTTTTTGTCTGAATCTAACGCATTAAACAACAGGGCAGCAGCTTTTTCGATGCTTCCATTTTGGTAATACAGTTTGATTATTTCTAATCAAGCGCAGTTCTAAATCCTACATGAATCAAGGAGATGATCCAAGCACGAGCTTCAGGATTCAGGAGTCAAGTGTCAGGGTGTTCCATAGCTACGTGCCATAGCAAATTTATATTTTTTTAAATACAATATCCTGTATTTTTTGCATACGGATAGAGCTTCTTAGTTTTCCATTTTCGTTGGGCCACCTTGTATGTAATTTGAGTTCAGATGTGTGACCAATCATTAACCACGACTGTAAGCGCGTCGCTTTATATGTATATACTTCTCACATAATCGATCAATAGAAAATCCTCTTCATCTGAAGGAAATGTAAGATCACCAATGGATACTCCAGAAATACCTGGTACCGTTGACGCCATGATTTCAACTGAGGTCTTACGATATGAGTATACTTTATCTGAAGTCACTTGAAATAGCATAAAAACCTTTGGTCGGCGCGTCCTTTGTAATTTCATGACGTATCACAGGCGTGCGGTCATTTATTTAGAACGATAATAATAATGTTTTTATATCACAATAAATGGATTTTACTATCGTCTTATTTTTTTGATTTGGGATAAAAAATACTTATATTGGGAGTTTAATTTATGTTGACTGAAAGTTAAGAAATGGAAAAATTACAGAATTCCAACGTTTGACATAGGCAAATATTTACATAGCAGGTAGGTATATAAAAAGGTATATAAAGACTTACATTATAGGTATTTATATATCATCCTCGCCTTCGGAGCTGTCGCTAGAGTCATCTTGTAGAGGAATTACAACGGGATTTACAGGAGGCAAAACACAATATTCATTTTCTTTTTCAATAATATGCCTAGAACACCGCTTCCATAGGTCTGTGGCAGCAATATGAGATACTGCATCTCTTATTGTGGCCAATAGCGAATCACTTAATTGAGGGGTCTGATTATGTTTTCTTACTTTTTTTTTAAAGCAGCCCAGACCAACTCAATCCAATAATATGGCTTTGGTTGATTTTTGTGGTATTTCCATTCCCTTATCCTTCATAAAATCAATAATGTCTTGTTTTTTTGTGCCTGTATTAGGAATTTTGTTTTTCTGTCGGGAATGGTATGGCGCATTGTCCATAATAATCACTGAATTTGGGGAAATGTTTGGTATTAACTGCTGCTCTATCCACTTTTCAAATAAGTCGGAGGTCATGTCCTCATGATAGTCGGCACATGATTCTTTGATATTTTTGGCAGATAACAGCAAGGCATTAGGTATAAATCCATTTTCACTGCCAGCATGGAGAATAATGATTCGTTTTCCACGGTTGCATGGTGCATTTAAAATGCACTTGTTGCTGTCGTCAACCCAGCCGTACTGCACAACATCATGGGTATCATACCACGTTTCATCCAGGTAAATCAGATTTCTTTTCTGCTCTCTATAGATTTTAACTTTGTGCAAAAATGCTTGGCGCAATTCAACGATTCGAGACGACTCCATAATCACCATTCTTTTATCTAATTTTTTGTATTGAAAACCACACAGTTTTACAATACAGTGCAGTGAGTCTAAGCATTTGTAATTATAAAAATCTTCAGGATAATCTTTTAATTTATCACGTATCTTTTCCAACGTGGGCACCAAATTTTCTTTATAAAATCCGTATATTATAACCCGATTATAACCCGATAAATGGTAGACCGACTGATTTTTGTCAGGATACAAATTCTGTTTAAAATTTGATTTTGCGAGGAATCTGGATTTTCGTTTTTCAGACAATCATACATATTTAGGATTACTCTTTGGGTCTGTTCCTCTAAATCTTTATGAAAGAATTCTGCCTGCACAGGTTCATCAACCATCTCCTCGTGGCTTGGAGCATTTTCCCAAGGTCTCCAAAGAGCCATATTTAGAACACACAAGAACAATCAACACAACAATTAAATCAACAAGTAAACTGAGTATTCAAAAGTCAAAAACACACAAACTAATAAAATCTATGAAAAAACACGAACAGACTAAAGAAAACACGTTTATTCAGCGCTACACGGCACTGGCTAAACTGTTTCAATTTTCAGTAGCCACCTGCACTTGTTCGGAGCTCTGAAATACACGCTTTCTCGTTGGCTATGTCCATGTATAGGCGTGCTTTACTCCACGTGGACCGGTGAAACTGCCTTTGATCTTATACGGGGGATGTTTGCTGCGAAATTTGGCGATTTTTGCAGCAACAGAGCGTGTTAAATATAGATATATAAAACGCACCCGGTATTTCACAGTGTTTCAAGTGACTTCAGATAAAGTATACGTGATGATGCGTGTGTGGAACACTGCGAGCGTTGCGTCGTAACGATACGCTTACGAAACGACTACGCTTACGATGCGTGTGCGAACGCCCTAACTGGCACCGTAAAAGTACGAAAACTGAATGCTTCTTTATCACCAATCAAAACACGCGGCCCCCCACAAAAACCTGACCATCTTATCGCTTGAATTCTAATAAACATACGTAGATTTTTACCTTTTTTGTATGCAAAACTTGAAATTACAAATTTGTTTTCTTTTATAGAAGCTAAAAACAACCTGTACCGTTGGTATAGAGAGTTGTTTTTGAAACTAGTTCCTGATTGTTAATTTAGTCGTTCTACAGATGCTTAATTGACGATTATTATCAATTTTTAGCATAAAACTTGTCTTCCTTGGGAACGCACATACTTATTTGAGACAGTTTATGTAAAGTGGGTATGCAAATTATCTAGGCTTCAAGATCAAGGTCACAGCGTTCACATTCAAAAGTAGAAACGTATAAAAACTAACGCAATTCTCGCAAAAAGTTGATAAAATAAGAGATGGTTGATGGTAATGGCATCTTATTATAACATTAAAATATACAGGGTGTCCCAACCGAGCGAGAACGGAGCAATGCAATGATTATTTCCGAAAAATATTTCGATAATTTCAACTCTTTCTGCTGTGGAGAATACGATGGTTAATTTATGTAATAAAGCGTTACAAGTTATTTTAACAACAAAGTTTGGTCAAAACTATGTACTAAATTCCTATTTAAAATAAGTACGAGATATTTCCGTATATTTCTTCAAGAAATAACTTTTGCCACAAAAAAACGTTCCAATAGCTATTTTCAACAACAAAATGATAAACAAACCATGGGCGTAGTGAAGAAAAGCATTTACTTATTGAGTAAATTCTTTTAGTCAAATTTCTTCTGAAAGTAGTACAAACTACAGTATATTCAGATAAGAGATAGACGGGATGTAAACAAAAGGTTCGGGTGATTTTCACGCTAACGCCGTCGTCTCGACGTAAAACAGGAGCCCTCATTGGTCAATTCGCAATTAAATGCCTATGCCGAGCGGCAGAGCAGTCGTATCAAGGCAGAGTCACATTCAGGTTCAGACGTGTTACGTATGTCGTGTGCATCATTGCAATTTGATATTTCTTTGGACGTTTTCGTTTGTTATCTTATTAAGTTGTTGAGTTTGTCGTTGTTATTGTTATACCTTGTTATTGATTGTTATTGTTATCAACTGCTTGCGCAAAATGCCCAGTAGAACAGATACTGCCGATGAAGTTGTAAACTCCTGTAGTCCACCTAGGAAACGCTCTAAAAAAAGACACCTGAGTGCAGAAATGAAAGAGGTCATTTTGAATATATACAAGATCGAGCGCGAGGAGAACGAGGCATCAACCATCAAAGAAATTGTTGTGAAGGTTTCTCACAAAGTTGGGGTGTGTCGCGCATCAGTGTTTAATGTGTTAAGACAATACAAAAAAAATCACACCTTTTCTGAGCCAATGACCAGTAAACATCGCAAAAGTATTGTTAAATCATTGGATGAAGCTGATAAGCATGCGATTAGGAGGAAAGTGCATGAATTCTTCTTTAGGAATGAAATACCTACTATAGATAAAGTACTGCAGGAGGTAAATGGAGATACAACGTTGCCAAATTTCAAACGATCAACTTTCCATGCGTTACAGAAGCATTTAAATTTCAAATGGAAAAAACGGGGTCGTAATAGTTTACTACTGGATAGAGAAGAAATTGTGCTATGGAGGAGGGATTATTTAACAAAAATTGGGAAATATAGAAATCAAAACAGGAAGATTTATTACCTTGATGAAACGTGGGTAAACGCAGGACACACTACAAGTAAAGTATGGGTTGATGATTCTGTAACTTCATCCAGGAGGGCCTTTCTAGATGGACTGTCCACCGGATTAAAAAATCCAGCAGGTAAATACGAGTAATAGACAACAATCGGATGTTTTTCAAACCTTGGGAACAAGGTTCTAAACATTAATTCCAGGGGGCAGATAAAACATATTAAAAGTAACAAAACTTTTATAACTTTCGATAAAATGCGTGGATGTTTTATTGTCACTTTCATTTGTTAGAACTTTTTTAAGCCATGTTTTTATGTGTTTTCGATATTTCAATAATTTTTTAATATAATCTTAAAATATGTCGAATATTATAAACTTAAAAAAAGTTACTAAGTTTTATATTGTGTACCGTTCCTAATATTTCTAATCATTTTAATTCATACTTTAAGCTTTATAAAATTATAATTTGTTAATATTAATATTTGCGCGTATTTCAGGTTCCTGATCATTCATTTTTTAAAGGTTTATAACTTTAAATTAAATTGTGAAGCGCTGAGTAATCATACGACGTTCAATATTCTTTCTTTCAATATGACTAAATAATCCCAATTATAGCAATCTGATACTCATGTCTCAATGTTTTTTCGCTGAATGTGATGAAAACATTTGAAAAAGGTTCGCTTATTGAAATAAATCTACACCAGTTAGTACTTCGATTTCCAGGTAAAGGGAAAAGGCTCATTATCTGCCATATTGGCAGTGAGGATGGATTTGTTGTTGACAGTCTGTGGTGCTTTGAGTCTAAGAAAACTGGAGATTACCACGAGGAAATGAATGACGAATCGTTTGAACAGTGGTTTTCAAAAATTTTACCGAACTTAGAGGAAAACGCAGTAATTGTGTTGGATAATGCGCCTTATCATTCTCGAAGAATGGAGAAGGTCCCAACAACGGCTTCTAGGAAAGTTGATGTTCAAAATTGGCTCCGCTCGAAAAATATCAACTTTGAAGAAGCAATGCTGAAAGTACAATTATTAAGAATTGTCAAGGAACACAAGGCGGAATATCAAAAATACGCCATTGACGAAATGGCAGCAAGTCAAAATAAAACTGTGCTCCGTTTACCTCCATACCACTGCGAGCTCAATCCCATTGAGCTCATATGGGCAGAGGTTAAAAATTATATAGCTAAGCACAATACAACTTTTAAATTTTGTGACCTCAAAGGACTTTTCAAAGAAGCACTAGAATTAATAACAGCGCAAAAATGGGAAAACTGTATTAAGCACGTGAAAGACAAAGTTGAAAAGAGAATGTGGGAACTGGACAATATTTTAGAGGAACAAGTCGAGCCATTCATTATTGACGTTGGTGCTTCAGGCAGTAGCGATGATGAAAGCTCATATTTCCAATAAAAGATGTCGTTCATCAAATTCGGTAAGTTATAAGTAATTATAAAGCTACTGTATTTTTTAATTAATTAATTATTGACATTTTTGAACCCATTTTGGCAAAACCTATTCAAGAATCTACTTTCTGACAATGTTCAACCATGCACATTTTTTTACGTTTTGAACGTTTTAATTTGGTTACACATTTACCTAGAAATCAAAAAATATACTAATCAATATTCTAAAAGCAATTTCAAGAGATATACGATTATTTTTAATTTAGGCTAATTTAAACGCCATTTTGAGATTATATTCGACTGTATTTCACCAAACATCAGGCGGCATCCGAAGCTGGAAATCGAAGCGAAAATTTTGAAACCCTTATGTATATTTACATCATTATATATTTCTTATCCCACCCCCACATGATCCTATATCCATCACCAATCGTATACACATCGAATTGTGCTAATTTACTACAAAGTTACGCAAAGCAGCATCTACTATCTAAAATATGTACTGCGTGACTCTTAATACGTCCCTGCCGAATGTTACAGCGTTCGATGATCACGTGGTCTTGTTTATGTCCGGTCTATCTCTTATCTGAATATACTGTAATCTGATGTACCTATTAAAGTCTACTTTAAGCTTTAAATCAATAAATCTTCAAAACTACTGAACTGAAGTACATTTATTTTAGATCATTATAAAGGGAATTGGGATTTTGGGGGTGGTGTCACCCCCGCTTAGGGGGCTGCACGCGCTAACGTGATTTTTTGCCAAACCTGTGTCCTCCTCGAAAACAAAATCGACGGGTTTGAGTGTTTTTCCAAAAAAAAAAACTGAGCTGCCAGTAAATGCGTCTGTTTCGTTTTCGATGCGCCACCCCGTATATGGTAATTTAATGCCTTTGTGTTACAACATAAAAGCATTGAACTATTTGGTTTCTTGATGGAAGCTTCGTTTTATAGACAGATTGTCAATATAATTGTTCCTTATTTCCAGGAAGAGTAGAGAAATGTCCAATGTTTTGAAACAAATATCTATAACGCAGAAACAATTTGAAAAAGCATGCGACCATCTTGAAAAGCTAATGGACATGAGGATCCAATAATGAAAAAATATACAGGGTATTCCGTTTAAGTTTTTTGCGAAAAAGTACGTTTTGCGCTTTGACGTCCCATTCAAAAATTTCAAAAAACGAATTCCAAATAATTTTTTTGACAAAATTTTCTACACGGTCTATCAAGATAGTAGATACTCAGACTGTCAAACTGTGATGTTTTTTAGATAAAATACCCAATCGCTCAACAACTGATTATCAATTTGGTTCTATCAATCTCCTCCTTTTAAAAGGATCTATCCGAAAAAAAGTGGGACATTCCATTAAAAAAGAATCAAACTGGATATGTGGGTCAAAATTGAGACAACCTGTACAATCGTGAATATTTAATAAATATGCCTCCCATATATAATAATCTATAAATACTTTTGTTTTAATAGTATTTGTTTATGAGCAATACTCCATCCCAGCACGGTTGGGACACCCTGTAAAAGGCGACAATAGCACTGGACAACAAATTTTAGTTTTTTAATTGTATCTAGTGGGAAAAGTGCACTTCTTTGTTAATTTTGCGGCGCTGAATCCAAAAATGACAATGAAATAAAAAAATTAGTTGCGGTTTAGTAAAAAAACCTTTTATTTTTAAGGAAATATTAAAAAAAGTAACAAGATTCATATACTTATAAGAATCACTATATGCGCTGTCTTTTTGCTGTTCTTTTATGGATCGTTTCTGGAGCATCTCTACCAAGAGTCCAACAGTAGTCTGCAAGCATGGAAGGATTCCACTTTCCCTGGTACCTTTTTTCCATTGTTGAAATATCCTGATGAAAACGTTCGCCGTGCTCATCACTTACGGTTCCGCAATTGTCAGGAAAAAAGTCCAGGTGTGAGTGTAGGAAATGTATCTTAAGAGACATATTACAGCCCATCTTTTGATACGATGACAGCATATTTTTGACAAGGGTTTTATAGTTGTCAGCTTTTCTAGACGGAAATCATTCCAAGCAGTTTTTTCAATACCTGTTAAAGTATTTTCAAACTGTGTATCTTTCAAAATATTTCGAATCTGTGGCCCAACAAAAATACCTTCTTTAACCTTTGCCTTACTTAGTCTTTGAAATTTCTGACGCAGGAATTGAAAAGCTGACCCATCTCTATCTAATGCCTTGACAAAGTTTTTCATTAGGCCCAACTTGATATGCAGTGGTGGTAATAAAATTTTTTTCGAATCTACTAATGGCATATGCTGTACATTTTTTTGACCTGGCTCTAGGAATTGACGAACAGGCCAGTTTTGTCTGGTGTAATGAAGTGCCTTTGCCCGACTGTCCCATTCACACACAAAACAGCAAAACTTTGTGTAGCCTAGCTGCAGCCCAAGTAAAAGTGCACCAACTTTCAAATCGCCACAAATATGCCATTGGTGCTCATCGTATTTTATGCATGTCAATAGGTACTTCATATTGTCATATGATTCTTTCATGTGAACTGCATACCCTACAGGAAGAGATGGTAAAATATTTCCAATATGCAATAACACTGCCTTTAAACTCAATGTTGAACTGTCTATAAACAATCTCCATTCTTCTGGGTTATAGTTTATATTTAAAGCCGCCAGTAAGCCGTTAATGTTACTGCAGAAAACCAAGTTATTCTCCATATTGAAAAATGGTTCTAAGTCTTTGTGGCGTTTACGAAAAACACATACCGAAACATCGTCTTCTAACACGTTCCACTGCTGCAGTCTTGATCCAAGTAACTCTGCCTTACATTTTGGAAGTTCTAAATCTCTTACGAGATCATTTAATTCTGACTGTGTTATTTTGTGCGGTTGGTGGCATGACGTGCTCGGTATAAAAACAGGATCTCTTGACGTTGATGGCATATCTTCTTCCTGACGAATCACTCGATCGCCATGATCTGATTCGTTTTCTGATTCGCAAGTGTAGGATTCTGGGGGTTTTGGAATAGGATTTTCGTCACTGTGAGGCACAGGTCTCATCGCAGATGGTATGTTTGGGTAGTTAATAACCGATTTTTTTTCTTGGACATACCTGTGGCTTGTCCAACAAAAGGTACCATGCAAAAGTAATAATCATTAATATGATTTGTAGGCTCTCTCCAAACCATTGGTTCAGCAAAGCGCATAGACCGTTTTTTGCCATTTAACCAGCTCCTCAGACTTGAAGCACATGTATTACAGCAGATGTGGGGTGCCCACTGTTTGTCTTGATCACCTAGTTTACAACCGAAATAAAGCTGATATGCCTTTGTTATTAGTGGAGTAATAGACCGTCTCTGAGACGCAAAAGTCACATCACCACACACGTAACAAAACTGATCTGGATTGTTTACACACTTTCGAGACATCTTGCATGAACGCTGTCAACCAACTGAGGCTAATATAAAACCATATAATGTACACGTATGTATAACGTAACACAATCATGCCGATTACATCATCTTTCCTTGCCGAATATAAAAATGTAGCACGTGCATTCTTGTGAATTACAGTATATTAACACTGTTACAGCAGGAACACATATAATTACGGTATCTGTAAAACTTGAACTAATATTGAAAAAATAAGTTTCATTCCGGTTTTAGCACATTTTATTTAGGATACTTTTTGACTGCTGATCAGTGTAGTTATTTGTGTATCAAGAGCGCAAAGTGTTACCTTGCCGCTCGAGGGATACGTTTGATCTACAGCGACAATATGTGCTCGATATAGCCAAGCTTCGATGCAGGCTGTTAGAATGGACTTTCCATTCCTCGAATGAATGCAGCAGATTGCTAAATTCGCACACGTACTTCGTCAACCGTCTTCACCTTAAACATTTCACCCAAACAAAAAAGAAATCGCGAAGGATTTTAAAAAACGATCCGCAAGCATTCGCGAAGCCTCGGTAGCATCTGGAAGACACTCACATCAAATTAAAATAACATGGACAACTCCGATATTGCTGTTCAGCGTGTCGTTTTTGTTTTGTTTCTGTCCAGATGTTTGTGTTCACGTTTGATCTAATCGAGATGCGGAACCGGATTAGGTCCTGTTTAGGTTTGAAAGATTTTGGTAATTTTTTTTTTTTTTTTTGGTGAGGGGGGAATGCATTTACGCACCATATCATAGCCCGAGCTACGGCGTGTGTGGGACTCCAGGGTCTTGAGGAGATCACCTAATACCCACTAAACCCTAAACCTCCGCGTGGCCTGACTCATCAGCGTCTCGGTAGGCCATGTGTTGTGCGTGACCTGCGGTCTGCTACAACGTCTCCTCATGTGTTTCAGTCTCTGGGAACGACGGGTTGGTTCCCTTTACCTCGCACATTCTATCGATGTCGTTAAGCGATCATCGATAGAGGGTCTGCTGGTTCTCTTGAAACTCTTGTTTTCGAAAAATCAAGAGTTTCAAGTCCTCTTACCAATATGTTGTTCCTGGTCCTGGTCCTGAAGGGTCCTGGTCCTGGTGGGTCCTGGTCGTGGCGGGTCCTCGTCCTGGTTGGTCCTGGTCCCGGTGGGTCCTGGTCCCGGTGGTTCCTGGCCCTCTGGGGTACATGGTTCTGCGGTTGCGAGGCCTCTCGTCCGGACCGTAGTCCATGAGGAATCGTAGCTGCTCGTTCGGGTGGTCCTGAGCTTTCTCGAAGGTCTTCTCCGCTTTTTTCCTCATGTACTCGTGGATGGTGTCCCAATGCAGGTCTCTACGCAAGGTTGAGTTTCTTACGTAGGATGGTGCACTGGTGGCGATCCGGAGTAACTTCATCTCTAGAGCAGCAAGTCGCTTGCGGTAGCTGGGGGCAGCGTACCCCCAGACCGCGGAGGCGTAAGCGAGCTGAGGTCTGGCGATAGCCTTGATCAGCCGTAGCTTGGTCGCTAGCGGCATCCGGCTGTGTCTACCCAGTAATGGGTAGAGTTGAGCCATGGCTGCTCTGGTCTTTGCGATGACAGCTTCTATGTGGGCTTTCCAGGTGAGGGACTTGTCAAATACGATCCCCAGATATTTGACTTTGTCGCTCCACTGGATATCTTCGTCGAAGATGGATGCTTCGAGAGGTCTTGCAATCCTTCTTCGTTGAATGAAGATTGCCTGCGTCTTCTGGACGTTGATGCGGATTTTCCATTTCACGCACCAGTCCTGGATGTGGTCCAGTTCATCCTGTAGTCTCCTACGGATGATCTCGGGTCGTCTATGCTTGGCGGCTATAGCAGTGTCGTCTGCATATAGGGCCAGCATTGTGTCAGCTGTCTTCGGCACATCGTGAGTATAGATGTTGTAGAGCAGGGGGGCTAAGGCTGACCCCTGGGGCACGCCTGCTTCCAGCTGTCGTCTTGTTGAATGGCATGTACCAATCTTCACCGTGAACCATCTTTGTGTTAGATAGCTCTGGATCAGTTGGCACATGTTCGCATCGATTCCGGCGGCTTCCATTTTGGCGATGAGTCCATCGTGCCAAACTCGATCGAAGGCTCGTTCCACGTCCAGCAGGACGAGACCGGTTGCCTCCTGGAGATTGAAGCCGCTGGTGATGTTTTCCGTCAGTCGTAGCGCTTGGAGTTCCGTGTTGTGGGAGGATCTGAAGCCGAATTGCTCTGGGGGGAGAAGTCGCAGTTCTTCTGCCTGCTTCTCTAGTCGAACGGCGATAGCCTTTTCGACTACTTTGCCCATCGAGGAAACCAGGCTGATGGGCCGGTAGTTTTGGGGCAACTTCCGGTCCTTGCCTGGCTTGGTGAGCATTATAACCTGGGCTTCCCGCCACCGCCGCGGGAAGTGGTTAAGTCTCAGAGTGGCATTGGCGATGTTGGTGAGCGCAGCAATGCCTTTGGTGGGAAGGTTCTTCAGCATCCTATTGTTGATGCCGTCCCTTCCCGGCGCCTTTCTGACCTTCAACCTGCGGATGATCAGACGGATTTCCTCTGGACTGGAGGGGTGATCCGTCTCCTGGCCAGGTGGTCGACTCCTCATGATTTCGGCTGCGACTTCCACGGCCTCCTCGTGGTTGTCGTCCTCGTCTTCGTGTTGGTAATTTGAAGGCTTTGGTGTTTATAAATATAGTTCTATACGCCGTGTAAAAGAATAAGAGGATGCCCCGTGTATATAGGGGAGCAGTTTGTATTCCGATGTTGCCGAATATCCTAGTTTATCCCTAAATTGGGGATACAGCTCACCATATGTTTTGTACGAATTTAGAGACTAACATCTTTTTCATGTTGTTTCAGCCGTCGACCTAGACTTGTGCTCATCGTCGGTGCAAGATGCGTTCGTCATTGCCGTGGAGCAACAGGCGAGAGAGCGTCTGGAGCGCCTCTCGGCACTCAAGAGGATCACTCCTGTCGACATGACCAAACTCTCACAGCAGGTACGCAACAAACGAAACAGTCAATATTAAGCAAAGTAATCTTTACCCACGTACGAGGAACACTGGAAAAGAAATCTACCTAGCCATGAAACAAAAGACGTACGATTTTTTTGATAACATACTAAATGACATAGAAAATGCAACACCGACTAGAACGATCGTTCTGTAGTCTGCCTTTGATGTTCACTACCTGTAACTCGTCGTAATCCGATTATCAGACCTCTCTAAAAATCGGAAAGTTGAGTGAAATTAGCGTATCTGCGAACTTTAGGCTTGATAGTGCAATGAAACAACAATGAAACAAACGGAACCAACACATAAAAATCACTGAATATTAAGAAAACATGTCTACATTGTTGGGATCCTGACATGACAAAAAAAAAACCTTTACAAAAAAGTACGGCCCGGAATAATAATAATAATATTTATTTACTCAATATACAAAGATAACAAACAATATGAGTAAATAAATATAAAATCAAAACAGGCCCAATAGAAGGCCTGTACATGGACCAATAATTTAAGTTGAAACTGTAGAATGCAAATGACAAAAAAGGACAAAAATTAGCTACAGTAGATTATGTATTTAGTTGATGTTCGAATTTATGAGTTTATGAATTTCAGTCCTAGATATAGAATGTAGCCACTTTTTTAAATATCTTTTGAAACAATTTCCGGAACGTAAATCTTTTAAGTCTTTAGGTATAATTTCATAAAATTTAGGCGCTAAATAGAGATATGATCGCTGCATTATACGAGTAGATTTATGCGGTTGAGGAACTACTGTGCCACGAATTTTGTACCTGGTATAATGATTATGTTTAATTTTTTGGTCGGTGTTTACAAATTTATGGTAGTGAGTGATACTGTGTAAGAAATAAAGCTGTCTTATATCATACATTCGAACATCTGCATATAATTTTTCAGTGGGATAAAGTTTCGGTTTTTTAAATATCATTTTTAGAATACTCTTTTGAAAAACATCTAAATTATAGATATGTGAGGAACATGCCGCTCCCCATGCTAATATACCATATGTGAGATGAGGCTCAATCAGTGCATGGTATAATTTTTGAAGATATTTTTCTGTCAATATATTCCCAAGGTATTTAATTTTGTAGGATACAAATCTAACTTTCTTTAAAATATAATTGACATGGAAGTCCCATCGTAAGTGAGGATCCAAAACCACTCCAAGGTATTTTATGTTGGGCACTCTATTAATTTTGATTTTTTGATCATTAATATTGAAGGAGAAATTTGTGTAATTTGGCAGATGTCTAGCATAAGATCCAAATGGTAAAAAATGTGTTTTAGAGTAGTTAATGCTTAATTTTCTACTGTTAAACCACCGAATAATTTTGATAAAATCATTTTCAATTACATTTTTCAGATCAGACCAGTCAGTGCCTTCATATAATATTGCAGTATCATCTGCAAAACTAGTTATTTTGCCAACACAATTAATTTGGAAAATATCATTTAAATATATATTGAATAACAGCGGACCTAAGACAGTTCCTTGTGGGACACCACACTTAATATACATTTCTTTACTAAATGATCCTGATATCTGCACAGATTGTGGGCGATTTGACAAATAACTTTCGATCAGTGAGTACGCGTTTCCTCTGAAACCAATTCTCTCCAATGCTTCTAATAATAATTTGTGATTAACTGTGTCGAAAGCTTTCTTTAAATCAACAAAAATGCAGATGAAGGGATTCTGTTATCAATATTTTGATATATTTGATTTACAATTTTAGTTATTGCGTCCGATGTAGCCTTCCCTTCTGTAAATCCATATTGATTTTCACTTAAAATTTTGAATTTTGTGAGGTATTGAATCATTCTAGTAGATAAAACTTTTTCAAAAACCTTTGCTACATTGGATATTATTGATATTGGTCTATAGTTGTTAACATCTGTTTTTGTTCCTGATTTATGTATCGGTATTATATTACCTTTTTTTAAAATTGAGGGATATATACCAGATTCAAAGCATTTGTTGATTAGGTAAGTGAGTGGTTCTGTTATATCCTCGGCTATAATTTTCAAATGCTCGCTTTTAATACCATCGAACCCAGGACTTTTCCGATTTTTTAAGGACATAACAGTGGTGTATACTTCACATTGTTCGACTTTATCCAAAATAAATGAGTTCAAAGTTCTTTTTGGTCTCTGAGTATTTTGTACATTTGCTTGTATAGTACTTGCTAAATTTTCGCCTATGTCAGTAAAGAATTGTACAAATTCATCGCATATCTGTTGAGTATTTTTTAATACTGTTCCCGATTTTGTATTTAACTCAGTGACACACTCTTTAAATTTTGTTTTCCCAGTAATCTCATCAATAGTTGTCCAAAGCCGCTTAGGATCATTTAAGTTATTATTCAATTTATTTAGGTAATGTTTTCGTTTGGTTTGCCTTGCAAGTTCTATAAATTTATTTTTATATTGGTTGTAACAGTCGGTATTCTCTGTAGTTGGCGTTAGTTTCATTACATTATATAGTCTTTCTTTTTCTATTGCCGATGTTATTAATCCTTTGGTAATCCAGGTATTTCTGCTTTTCTCTTTGTGACTAATTATTACTTTATTGGTACTAATATCTATTAGTTTTTTATTTTCTCTATGAACAGTCCCGTTGCTTTGTCTATATTATTTATAGAGTATAATTGTTCCCAGGATTCTTGTTTGACATTTGATATTAGTTTTGAATTGTCGACAAAAAATTTGTAATTTTCCTGGTTGTTATTAACGGTAGGGATGTTAGAATGTTTTTCATTTGAAGATATCAGTAAAATAGTGGAGAAGTGGTCAGTAATATCGCTTTCTAGGATTATTGGTATACAAGTAATTTTGTTGGATAGGTCTTTCACAAAGCAGTGATCTATACATGTGCCACTGATCGACCTTGTAGGTAGGTTTATATAGGACAGAAATCCGTTACTTGATAGGATATTCAAGTATTCATTTGTGATGGGATCATTGTCCAAAATATTTATATTGACATCTCCCAAGAAAATATGTTGCTTTAAATGAACTTTATTTTGATTTTGAAAAAAAAATCGATATTCTTCAAAAACTCGTGGGGTTCTGAACATGGCGGACGATAAATTGCAGATGCCTTCAACATTTCAAATATGTTTACACGTTTTTATCAAAATTCAATAAATAAAGCTGGGTGTTGCATTTTATATGTCGTATATATACTAAGTGACATATAAATCCGAACACCCAGTTAAAATGGTTTTATTTTAATAAAATTTTGTATAAGTACTTAATGAAGCATAATAAGTAAATGATAAAAATTTCAAAATGATTGCACTGCTTTAAAGCCCTTTGACCTTTAATAATGTGTGGATGCACCCTGATGTGCTACGCATTCTCCAACGCGCCTAGGCATGCGTCTGATCAGGTGGTCAATGTCCTCCTGTGGTATCTCATTCCAGGCAACCACCAACTCCTCTCGAAGTGCTTCTAGGGTCTGAGGAGGACGTTGCAAATTGAGCAATCTCCTACCCATCATATCCCACAAGTGCTCAATTGGGGATAAGTCGGGAGATGTTGGTGGCCATGGTAACAATGTGACATCATTATGTTGAAAGAAGTCTATTGTGACTCTTGCAACATGCGGTCGGGCATTATCTTGTTGGAAAGTTGGATCTGCCAGGGTGTCAAGATAGGGTAAAAGATGGGGTTCTAGAACTTCGTGGATATAACGCTGCGCGTTCCTGTTACCTCTGATGAAGATTAAAGGTGACCTGGAACCATAAGCTATAGCACCCCAAACCATAACTCCAGCAGTGTGATAAACATGTCTTTCAACAAAAACTGTGGATTCCTCCTTTCACCACGTCGCCTTCTAACCCTGGCACGACCATCGTGCATGCCTAAACAAAATCGAGACTCGTCACTAAAGACAATACTGTTCCATTCCTGATCCCAGAGTGACCGTTGTCTGCACCACTCAAGGCGATTACGTCGGTGTTCTCGAGTTAAAGAGAGGACCCAGTGTGGCCGGTATGAAAACAAGCCAAAACTTCTCATTCGTCGGTAAACACTTCGCATGCCAATAGGTCTTCCGTGTTCTGCAAACCATTCATTTGCAATGGACCTGGTAGTGGAGAAACGGTCCCTTAAGGCCAATAATCTTAGGCGGCGATCTTCAATGTCTGTTGTTCTACGGCGGCGTCCAGTGCCCCTTGCTCTTTGCGTACGGCCTTCTCGAAGCCATGCCTGACAACACCTAACCACAGTGTCTACACTTCTTTGCACTCTAACTGCAATTGCCCGAAAAGAAAGTCCAGCTTCCCGAAGTCCCACTATACGGCCCCTATCAAACTCACTAAGTTGACGAAATCGTACAGGTCTCCGTACTCTAGGCATCGTAACCGATCGTAAAGGATGTCAAGAACCAACATCCGCCAACGTTGATTCTTTACTGCGGCTGAAATATTCATTTTTAGAGCGTTAGTGAATTAAAAAAAAGCAGTATAAAAACCGGAATGTCCAACTGATAAGGCTGAAAATTTTTTCACTTGTTATTTACAGTAAGATAAATACATCCACCAGCTTTTATTAAAATAAAACCATTTAAACTGGGTGTTCGGATTGATATGTCACTTAGTATAGTTATTTAATTGTAAAATATCTCAAACCAAGGACATGGGCATTAACCTCAACCTTTGTTGCACTGTCTGGTCAGTCATCTCACGAAAAAGAGAAAGCTACAATTTATTTTAGTCTAAGACTGACCGAAAACCGAACGAAAACCGAACATTTCACGGTCAAGAAAAGAAATCCAGTGTCATTTGTAAATTACACATATTTCAACGCAGTCACTTTTACCGCAGATCTGTATGAAAACATGACGTCAAGTAGATTGACTCGCTAGAGGTTTCAAAGAAAGATCGCTTGAAAAGGCAAAATCGAATCGTAATCGGGTACGTTCACTTATTCACAACAATTTACAACCAGTTACCGCTTGCAGCTCCAATCTACAATCTTAATCCCATCCAAACGATAAAGATAAGCACCGTGTACCACAGACCACTCCGAAAAGTAATAGGACTCATTTTCTTCCTAGCTAACGAATGAGCGGCTGGTCAGTTGTCTCCGAGCACTTGGAGAGTCAACCGTCGACTAAGTATTCGTTTAATTGCCCAGGTGTTAAATTTACCAAAATCTGCGGTTCATGACATTGTGACACAGCATTTGAACATGCGCAAGGTGTGCGCGAAGTTGGTCCCAAAAGTGCTCACTGACGACCAGAAATTGCGGCGATTGGAAGTGTGCCAAGAAAATTTGAACATGTGTGAAAGTGACCCCCAATTTTTGAATAACGTAACCACAGGTGACGAGTCGTGAATCTTTGAGTATGATCCCGAGACAAAGAGGCAATCTTCCGAGTGGCACACGACGGCGTCTCCTCGCCAAAAAAAGGGAAGAACGAGCAAATCCAAAGTGAAAACGATGCTCATCGTCTTTTTTGACATCAAAGGCATCGTCCATGATGAATTTGTTCCTCCTGGACAAACCGCCAACGCCAAGTTTTACGTGGAAGTGCTCAGGAGATTCAAACGAAGGGTCAGTCGGGTCCGACAAGACATCGCAGCCGACTGGAAGTCAGCTACAGCTACCTGACCAAGGCCGGCATCCCAACGCTTCCGCAGCCGCCCTACAGCCCAGATGTGCCCCCGCCGGACTTTTTTTGTTTCCTCGCCTGAAAAGGCAAGCATTTTGAGACGACAGAGAGGATCCAAGCAGCATGCACCGCGGCTCTCAAGGCTATTCCGGAGAATGCCTTCCGTGCCGCCTTCAATGCTTGGAAATCGCGCTGGCAGCGCTGCATCGACGCAGAAGGAGCCTATTTTGAAAGTTTGTAACGATTGGCTCAATAAATTTTTTTAAATCGACTCAGTCCTATTACTTACCGGACAAACCCTGTATGCATATATTATTACCAACCATACGCCCACAAGTGTCAAATATCTTTCTGCTTTCTCCACAACATCTGCTACAAAGCGCCGATGAATACGTTGTAAGAGACCCTTGAGGACACGATGGATGATAATTCGGGTTCACTTTCAGGCACTTGACTTGGCGCCAGTACGCGCCCTATTATGTCTGGAGGATGCTTACAGATGAGATATCGACTTACGCTAATCGGCAGGTGGCGCTTAGCTGTACAGGGTGGCCCAAGTAGCGAAAGAGTTTTGTGTATTATCATTGAAATAAGATAGCAGAAAGCGCCATCTATTACCAGAATCGGTCACGTAACGTACATTGTTTGTATAGGGTGGGCCAACCAAGAATACATCGTAGAGGCTTAGTTATTACTAAAACAGTTAAGAAAAAAACCTTTCTGACATGGCCGTTAGGGGGCGTAACTACCTGATCTTTAATTCCGAGAATAATCTTTTTTTTTTTATATCGAAACAGCCGCGCAGGCAGAAGCCTAAATGCCGGAACACCGCGGCTGCTATGGTGATCCCAAAGAAATTTTGTTAATACGATTTTTGAACTGCCTAAGGTTAGCAGGACTGGGAAAAGCTTCCTCCCGTAGTTTGTTCCACAATCTGGACACCCTCGGGACAAAGGAGCGGTCGTATCGGCCAGTTCTGGATGTACGAAGTTTGACACGGTTAGGATGGGACGCCGAAGTCAGGCGGGTCTGTCTGGCAGGCACATCGCGCGGCGGCATCATGGAAGAGAGCTCTGAGGAGCAAAGCCCGTTGGTGTAGCGATAGAAAAGAGCTAGATCGCCGACGGCCCGCCGGTGCGAAAGAGTCCCGAGACTGTCTGTTAGAGAAGAGTCATCGATCAGTCGGACCGCCCTCTTCTGGACAGCATCGAGGATGGACAATGTAGTCGGGGCGGCAGCACCCCAAATGTGTGAGCAATACTCGAGGCTAGGCCTTATCTGGGCCTTGTATAGAGTGAGAAGGTCATGCGGAGAAAAGTACTTCTTAGCCCTAAACAAATAGCCTAGCTTTTTCCCAGCAGCTGCAGCTATTGAAGAGATGTGTTCGTGCCAGATCAGGTCCTCGGTGATCTGGACTCCGACCAGCCGAAATGAATGGCTCTTTGGTAGAACTCGACCGTCCATCGAAACTGTATGAGCGCTAGGACGCTTTTTGTTCGTCAAAGTACAGTACTGTGTTTTGGAAGCATTGAACTGTACAAGATTGTTGCGTCCCCAAGCAGTGATAGCCTCCAGGCCTCTTGTCAGAGAAGAAGTCGTCGCTAGTCTTCTTTTTTCCAGCTCAGCGGCAGAGATCGGCTTGTCACTCTGAATTCCTGCATGTAGAGTGCTGTCATCAGCGAAGCTGTGGATTGGGTTGATCGTGCAGGAAAGGAGGTCGTTGATATGTAAGAGAAACAGTGTTGGAGCCAAGACCGATCCCTGGGGAACACCCGCGTTGACGTTGTGGGATGAAGAGGAGAATCCGTCAATTACGACGGATATCTTGCGGCCACAGATAAAGTCAGCCACCCATCTGCAAAGCTTTTCTGGGAGGCCGTAGGATGGAAGTTTGCTTAAGAGGGCAGCGTGCCACAGCTGATCGAACGCTTTCGTGATGTCAAGAGCAACGACATGAGCCTCACCATGAGACTGGATGAGTTTACTCCACAGTTGCGTGACGTAAGCTAGGAGGTCCCCTGTGGATCGTTGGTGCCGGAAACCGTACTGCCTGTCGCTAATCAAGCTGTGACGTTCGAGGTAGTCCAGAAGCTCGCGATTTATGCACCTCTCCATCACTTTACTGATAACAGAAAGCAGAGCTATGGGCCTGTAGTTGTAAGGGTCGGTTTTAGATCCTTTTTTTGGGATGGGCTGTACATGAGCAAATTTCCAGTTTTCTGGGAAGGTGCCGGATTCATAAGATATCTGAAAGAGACGCGAAAGAACTGGAGCAAGCTCAGCTGCACATCTCTTCAGTACAATGGCAGGAATCAAGTCCGGACCAGAAGCTTTGTTGATGTCGAGCGACAAGAGCACTCGTCTTACGGTCTTATGCCTGAATGTTACCTCCCGCATATTGTGGGGAACCCTTTGAATTGACGGCACTTGGGCGTTGGTCGGTACGTCCATGGTGGAGTTGGCAGCAAAGATCTTGGCTAGCACTTCCGCCTTGGCCTTTGAGTCGAATACAATAGTTCCATCCTGACACGTAAGTGGTGGAAGGCTGCTGTGTGAGAAGTTCTTTTCAATCTGCTTGGCCAGCGTCCAGAAAGACCGACTGCCATTGCGCTGCGACATTACCCTGTGCCTAACTTTTATATCATGCTGGGTTTTGGCATTGCGAACCGCTTCGTTATATTTGTTTCTGGACTCGACGTCGGCTTGTCTGTTCTCTATAGTGGGGTTTTGTAAGTAGGTTCTGTGGGCCTTGATCTTCTGCTGGCGAGCAGTGTCACACGATTTGTTGAACCAGCCGTTGGACCCTGGTTTAGGAACTTTCACTGTGTGAAGGATGTATTCCTCCATTCCGACGTGGATAATTTCGGTTATTGAAGAACAGACAGTCGACGCATCCGCGTCAGTGAAACAGACATCTCTCCAAGGAAAGCTAGAGAAGAAGTCTCTGAGCCCCTCCCAGTCGGCATGTCCGTAATGCCAAGTTTTGCGGCCTGTGCGAGTTTCTGCGGCCACAGCGGCTTGTGACCGAAACCTAACCTCCACAACACCGTGATCTGAGTTACCCAGGGGGGACCGGACGGCAGTGCTGTAAGGGGCAGGATGCGTGGTCAGAAAGAGATCCAGCAGGCTACTGGCGTGTGACGAGACGCGGGGGAAAAAAGTAGGGCTCGTCACCAGCTGGGTCAGCCCTTGAGTAAGAGCGAACGCTTCGACTGCACGACCTGCTGCATCGGTCTTATTTGAGCCCAACCAAAGCTCATTATGGGCATTGAAATCACCGAGAAGAACTACCTCTGAAGCGGGGTGATTGATGTTCAGGAAGTCGATCTGGACGGAATGCTTTGTATTCTGCCAGAGATACTATGCCAAGCCGTGCAGAAGTTGATAAACAGATCATCTAGTTGCGCGAGGAAATAAAAACAGCAAAACAGTCTTTAGACGGGAAGGTTCAAAACGCAGTTACCGAGAAGAAAACACAGGGATGGTATGATGATAGAAGACGAACGGAATCAATTCGCAGCGTGACATTAGTCGCGGTGGGACATTTTCGTTTGATTCCCAGAAAATCTAATTCTGCAGAGGGACGAAGACATGTATCGACAGTCTCTGTTAAGCTCATTTGGGCTCAAACTGATCACCACAAGAGCCACTTAGATAGCAAGTTCGCTGAAACATCAATCCATTATTTAGAGACCATAGCATCCATACTTGGGCCAGATCTAGTATTTTTCATATCTCAAGATGATAAGCTCAAGTCCCTATTGGCGTAACTGCGGCAAATAAGCAAGCACCTCTTCTAATGAACATGTAATATACGATCAAATTGCCTGATCACGATTGGGTAATCGCTGAGCGTCATAAATTAATACCATCTGTTTATGCTGGTATCAAAATCACTTCCAATATGCTAGGACAACCGCAAGCCGTTGGATATTCTGGACCAACATACATCGCTGTTCGAAGTGGAAAGCATAGTTCATCTACTGCTAATACTCATGCTCAGGATTTCGAGACGCTTCTCGAACTTGAAGAGTGCCGACCATTAGCTAAAACTGACCATGGACTAGTAAAATCAGTGGTAATCATGACGGTTGATGAAGGGCCAGATGAAAATCCACGTTATCAAAAAGTCATAGGGTTTGCTATACAACACTTCCTGGAAGAAGTGCGTATAACAGAGGAGAGCGCAGATTGGCTCCTCTTAGTGGGGAACGGGCTGGTTTAATATTGCTTTATGACCATTTTGGGTCTCATTTTGATGAACGTAGCGTTACAACTGATGAACATTTAGAAAGATCTAATTTATAATTTGCAGGAAATGTATTAGCTGAAGTATGGAGTTCAATGGAAATTGATGGCTATAATGTCAATGCAAAATATGTTGGGGCAAGTGAACAAGATCTTTCTGATTTTCTAGACATTAAATGGTATTCAGAACATGTGCGTGAGAGCCAATACTTGCTTCAAATTGTAAAATGTAGAAATACAGAATGCTGTCGTCCAAGAAGTGGCCTATTTAGATTACTAGACTATAGGTTTCTTCCACCACCTGTAAAAGTAAAACAAACAGTTGATGACTTGGTTTTGGATGAAGGAGGACAATTTCTTAATCTTCCAGTCAATTTAGCTCTACGCTTAAGTGCTTCACTCAAAGATCCTACAAATGCCCTACGATTATTTTTGTCCGACGGTTAAAATTGAGGCTATCAAGTCGAACATGCAAAACGTGTGGTATTTATCATGCTTCCGCCAAGTCACTAAATCGTCACATCGAAAATATCCATAAAAAAGTAAACAGGCACACTGATAGGAAACTTAGACCTGTAAAAGTCGCTGTTCGTCGTGCTAATGAAATGAAGTGCATTATTCAAATTAAGAGCACCATGATGCTGAATGGCTCGATTAGAACGACGTAGACATTCCAAAATCCGATGACAGCGAGCAAACTCACAACACTGAGCAGCAATGGAAGCAATCCAATGTCATCGAAACTTAGAATCAGATTCGGGTTTCATGGACTGCAGACTGTCATTTGAATTTAATATATGTACCAAAAATCTAAAATAAGTTTGTTATGTTATTAAGATATAATATTTTGTCCTTTACTCTATGTTGAATACCGTATCAGTAAATTATAATCTCTATCCTAAATCTATTTTCTTATTTTTCAAATTATAGTTATAATATTAAAAAAAAACAATACATTAATTGACAAATGTTTAAGTAAGCATGGGGGAAGGTGGTAAGAGCTTTGCTTACGTTTGCTGACACACGGGGGATGGGGGGAGGGGGTAAATAATTGTAATAAATCTGCTTACGTAATACTTGAATGGCCACTAACGATAACGATATAACGATATAAAGATATAACGATATAACGTTATAAAGATATAACGATATAACGATATAACGTATAACGATATACGATATAACGATATAACGATATACGATATAACGATATAACGATATAACGATATAACGTATAACGATATAACGATATAAC